GTAGGTTCTGGTATGAAGGGATGGGCTCGGTGTTGTAGGTTCTGGTATGAAGGGATGGGCTCGGTGTTGTAGGTTCTGGTATGAAGGGATGGGCTCGGTGTTGTAGGTTCTGGTATGAAGGGATGGGCTCGGTGTTGTAGGTTCTGGTATGAAGGGATGGGCTCGGTGTTGTAGGTTCTGGTATCCATGAACAGATTGGCATAGTGGCTCCATGGATCTATTCTGAAGTATCTCTGGAGGTCCCGGGATGGCGAGCTGACCTTGTGTACATGTAACCCAGGTATGTATGTTGTATGTATGTTGTATGTCCTCCAGACGGTGACGGTCTTGTTTTGTGTTGCAGGAAGAGCAGCAAGCCTCATGAGGACATCCTCGGGATACAATCCAAAAGCCAGAAGCTGGGAATGAACAGCATGGGTCTGACCCAGAGCAAGAACTTCTTGATGAGTAAATTCTCCTCCCTCAACCAAAAGGTCAAACAAACCAACATCGGAAATCTCCGCAAGTTGGGTCCCTTTAACAAGGAAGTGAAGGGCTTCCTCAAACCCAACCTGCAGGCCAATCCTTGGAAATCCGACAGCAGCCTGGAAAATCCCGGCACAGAGACCAAAGACCACGCGGAGTCGGACTTGGAGCTCTCGTCAGACAGCGACTCCTTCCATTCCGATGACTACATTCCGAAGTCGGATGACGACGGGCTGGTCTCGGGCTCTCTAGAGAACATCGGGCAGCTGGACTATGTCCTCCCGAGCTGCGGGATCATCGCCTCTGCCCCACGCTTGGGCGGCCGGTCGCAGTCCGTCAGTAGTGCTGAGCCAAGTCTCCACCACCCTACGGAGATCCAGGTGACCCAGTGCGAAGCATCACCGGAGCAGAAGGTTCTTGTGGATTTCGGAACGCCGATCGACGCTTACTGCCACCAGTTTGTCCACGATGCCCAGACCAAAGATGGCGACTGTGCGGGCAGCGATGGTGGTAAAGAACAAATGGACCAAGTAGTATTGCGCAATAATTCCCCCCGACCATCTACTGAAGTGGAGCCGGAAATAGAACAACTTCCTCGGCCCTCCCAGCTGGAGGTGTCTGGAACTGACGCCGGCTCCCGCTTGTCTGTAGACTTTTCCGCGGCCTCGGGCCGGTCCAGCCCCGGCTCTGGCGCCTCCCCGGCCGACAGCAGCGGCAGCAGAGTTGTCTCTCCGTTCGCCAAGATCCGCAGTTCTGTCGTCCAAGTGGCAAACATCACCCAGGCCGGGCTGGCGCAAGGCATTAACTTTGCCGTGGCTAAAGTGCAGAAGTCTCCGGAGCCGACGACCGTACCGGCCCAGCTACCCAACGACTTCAAGGAACTGTTCACACAGTGTCAGACCCGCATCATACAAATCTAATGACCACCGCCGGCTCCGCCCACATATAGGACGTCACTTCCAACAATGTTTACATTTTTATCATTTGGGCTGTAGATGGGAATTCCTTCAACGGGAACGGTGAACGGACGCCGTTGTACTCTGGACCGTTCCTTCACTCTGGGTGAACCGACGTCGCACTGTTCCCGTTACCCTCGGTGAACGGACGGCGGCGCACTGTTCCCGTTACCCTCGGTGAACGGACGGCGGCGCACTGTTCCCGTTACCCTCGGTGAACGGACGCCGTCGCACTCTTCCCGTACCCTCGGTGTTGGGTTTTCGGTAGGAAAACACTGTATTTTAGTTACTATTTATTTTGTAGGTTTTTATATCCCGTTTCCTGTGGGAATCTCCTCGCGTCTCTGACCCGTCTTCCCTCCCGGCCTTGTATCTGTATCAAGGCATTAACCCCTCACTGCCCGGCCAGTAAAGTATTAGACGGACCCCTCTACACTGGAAGATCCGGGCGCGACGAGCATTCCGGGGGCCGCGGCGGTTCTGTGGTAGGATAGAAGCTTGTGTGCTCGGCGCTCTCTCTATATTCTATCTCTGGACGGCGATTTAAGATTGCGCTCCTCGGCTGCGTCCATCGGCGGCGCGTGTAACCTTTTGTGTACTTTGTGACGCGCCTCCTGTCTGTACCGGTTCACTGAAATGTATTTATTTGTCGTGTTCTGTGTCATGAAAGGGAATTATTTTAATAAAAAAAAAAAAACGTTTTAAAACAAACGGTCTCGTTTATTGGAGGACACAGCCGAGATCTTGACTCTCTCACCACTGGGTTATAGCGCCACCTTCAGGAGTAAAGTTGTAATTGGTGAGGGTGCTCTCCGCACACCTTTCAGCAGTCCCGGCCAGTAGAGATGAGGTGCTTGCAGTAACTCCCACGGATGGCACCGTGTTGACAGGTATACATACAGGGGGACAGGTACTGCTAAGAACAAAATCACACGGGGACCCACGCACACGCCAGCAGAACTATATACACACATGCAATGGGTTGGACCCGTGTCTTTATTCAACTTTAAATACTATGTATCAGTGTTTCCCCCGGGCATAGGGCGCCCCTGCTCTGTAGGTCATGTGACATCCTGTCCGGCATACGGGACGTGGAATCGATTAATTTGCTGCCGGAAGCAATTCTTCATCAGATGTTTCTATTTCTCAATAAGTTGATTGGTGGCCGCTGCAGCCCTTCAAGGGTATCAGTTCCACCCGGAGGAGGAGCACTAAAGATGCTTCACCCCAGGGGTAGCCAAACTCCGGCCCTCCGGCTGTGGGGTGAAACTACCAATCCCATGATGCATCTCTCTCTCCGGGAGTCGTCGTCTGTGAGAATGTTGCAATGCCTCCTGGGATTGGTAGTTCCACCACACAGGTGGAGGGCCGGAGTTTGGCTACCCCTGCTTCAACCCCAATGCCGAAGGGATAATCACCGGACACCTGCACCGGAGGGTGATGCGCGCTCAGTCATCATCATCATCATCATCCACGGCCTGGCCAAAAAATAAGTCACACTCTAATATTTCATGGGACTTCCTTTAGCTCGGATTACGGGACACGGTCTCCGTGACATCGCTCGGATAATCTTATACAATGTCACACTCGCGTGTCACCGAGATCTGGCAGTGATGGCGGGAGAGTCTGAGCGCGGCGTGAAGTCTTCTCCAGAACATCCCAAAGACTCCCCATGGGGTCCAGGTCTGGACACTGCGGTGGCCGATCCGTGTGTGACAATGATGACGTCTCGTGCCCCCTGACCACGATGGATCCCGCCATTGTTATCTCAGAATACTAGACTTGTGCGCCATCAGAAAATTCGTTTCGTAATATCCGTTATTTCGTATTTCGTTTCCGAAACTCAATTAGGATTCGTACGAAATTCCGTTAGTTTCGTCACATTTTCGTTCCGTTACGAACATTCGTTATATTGAAGTTAAAAAGCAAAAATACCTTTGTTATTATATTGGAGTCGTTTTGGTAGTTTTTTTTGTTTTTTTTTATCCGAAATTCCCTTAACGGATTTCGGATCCGAATTTCGGCTAAAAAAAAAACCAAACAAACTACCGAAACGACTCCACTATAATAACAAAGGTATTTTTGCTTTTTAACTTCAATATAACGAATGTTCGTAACGGAACGAAAATCCGTATTTCCTGCCTGTGTATTGTAATGCATCAGCAGCAGCCGATCCGGATTTCCGATTAAAAAAACAAATCTTGTCATGTTGTTCCTCATTTACATAGTTACATAGTATTATTATAGTTACATAGTTACATAGTTAGCCAGGCCGGATCCCGCGGCTCACTCCGCCCAGATGTAATGATAGGTCGGCGTCCCCAAAAGACCCGGGGGACACTGATCTGTCAAAACAATAACTGGGCGGAGCCGACTGTGACATCATTGACTCTGGCAGGTGACAGCCAATACCCTGTTTCCCTGAAAATAAGACCTGGCGGTGACCATTCCCGGGGCCGGTGGCATTGGGGGGAACCTGAAGAGCCGCGGGAGAGAATCAGCGGTGCC